GATAGTTAAATTAAATTATTTGTTAATTATGAATATATTTATCATTTTTCTATGTCATTAACAAAAACCGTTTTAATCATCCGTTGCATTATTAAATCTATCTTCACATTTGCTTTATTCCAGTTTGTGTCACTATTAAAAAAAAAAACCTTACTCGTATACAGTAAAAGTTCTTTATTCACGAGGTATAAACACGTTCCGTAAATATACCGCGAATACAGAAACCGTGAATATAGAAAGCCGACCCACTTATACAGCGGCAATGGCATTAGAAAACAAACTTTAAGCACACTTGTAATAATCCTATTTTACTTTTTTATTAGTCTATTTGCCAACGCGTTTACCAAGGACACCGAATCTTTTTTATTAATTTACTACGATTAAATCCGCGAATACAGTAATCTTTAGCCGCGAATATAGATGGATAGATAGATAGATACTCTTTATTGTTTCCTTCAAAAGACAACAAAGATAGTAAACTTATTATAAATTAAATAATTACAAGAAATAATCACATAATAATATAGGAATTGGGTTGCAATTATTTATTCCGCAAAATGGTGAAAACGCGAATAAAAGAACCGTGAATAAATATTTTTTACTGTATACGATAAATTATTTATCGTTTACAGACAACACTGTTTCTTTAACCCTTCAACTGCATGTACACGTAGAGTACATTTTAATGCATTCATGGGCTCTCAAGCGTACCGACTGCAAAGTAACTAAACGGCGCAACCCCACCCTGTGCACGCTTATATTTATTATTTTAAACTGTACAGTTATAATTTTGAGATTTGCGCAGGGGTCGGAATGGTATGTCGTTAACTTTTTAGAGTTAATTATAACTGTTTTATCATATTTACAAAGATACGATTTAAAACAAGCTCACAGGACATGATATTTTAAAAATTTCATTTTTTACTATAATTTCTAAGTATTTTAATATTCTTAATATTTTTTTTTAACACAGAGGGTAAATGAGCATGTGGTATACTTGATGGTAAGTGCTTACCGCCGCCCATAATCACCCGCAACACCAGAAACATTGCAGGTGTGCTGCCGGCTTTTTAAAAAGGAATTATGCTCTTTTCTTGTAAGTTATGATGTCGAATAAGTTCGGATATATTACTTTTTCTTATTTTATGACTTTCAAGATATTGATTTTTATATACTTTTTAGGAACAACACAATATAATTTTGAATGCTATCATCATAAAATTATATCTTTTAAGCAGTTCGCATTCACCTTTTTCTAGGTCTTTTTTTCCTTTGCATTCATACACTTTCGAATTTATTCGATCACATAGTATTTTAGTAATATTATCACCAGAGAGAGACTTTGTACAGAATCCGTTTGCTTGGGTACCTCTGTCTCATTCGTGTTTTAACCGTGAAGCAGTTGTGTTTGCATGGCTGTGTTTCGGTTTGAAGGGTGGGATATGGCAGTGAATTTATAGGATACAGAGGAATAACACCTGAGTCCTCAGGAATGGCAACGCATGGGGGGTATCATGGGCGAAACAGTATACTATATATTATATAGCATATTCTATTATAAAGCTATTTTACCTGATTATTATTATTGCCTATTATGGGCGAGGGATGGGCAGCAGCGTACCTCTTAAAACATCTCTAAAGCCTGACTGCGGTTACCAATCCGCCTGTCAAGCGTAGCAACTACTGCAAAACCCCCAAGGGGGAGGTTTATGTTATGTTCAGCAGAGGACAGTTAAAGGCTGATATGATGATGATTATTATTATTATTGCCTAGATATTTGTTAAAAATTCGTGTTTAGTATTTTCGTGTAACATATTGTCGTAACGTACTTTATCACGTGTATTGTTACGAATCGTCACTAATCCGTAACGAAAAACGTTTGGCGCTAAATAGTTGAGCAGTACGATTATTTGTCATTCAATTACCCGGAAACTACACGATCGACAATGCGAATCAATTTTTAACCGACTTTAAGAAAAGAAGGTATTTAATACTACAGAATACAATTTCAAATATACTATATATTTTTAATTTATCCTAATGTACTTGTAAGTATAATAAAATTATCAGTTTTTCTACTATATTATGCATATATTATACATATAAATTTTCACCTTAAATCGCTCTATCTATTAAAAAAACCGCATCAAAATCCGTTGCGTAGTTTTAAAGATCTAAGCATACATAAGGACAGACAGATGGGAAGCGATTTTATTTTATACTATGTAGTGATGATCTGTATCTGTATATAGAGTGACAGTATAATATATTTTTCTCAAACATGCTTGGAAATGTGAGCATTATTTTGACAATCTTCTTTGAGATAAATCAAAATTGCCGTACTGGCCAGATACAATCGGGCAAAGTTGTATGAAATTCCATATCTGTCGTGTTTTGCGGCCAGATAAATTACTATGTAAACTCATATCTGTCCTGTAATTTAAAAATGGAATGACTTTTTACTTCGAAACATAGCTACCAAGGAGGTAACTAATAAAAGGTTTCGAACTGGCTTGCAAATAGAAAGCTGTTTATTGGAAAAAAAACAAAGGAACATTATGGCGCGTGAAAAATTATTATTGTTCGTTATTCGTCATTGAACTTAAAAAGTAAAATTGTAGTAATGTACTATATTTTTTTTGCACGAACTATTGTAATTTGTTGAATATATGTTATTTTACTATTGTAATTTGTTGAATATATATTATTTTACATAATTTCTTCCAAAAAAATTTGTTTTGTGTGTCAAATCTAATTAGTTAGCTGTAATAATAATAATCCACCCATGCTACATTACGTAAATTAAAAATTATACCCTACATAGTAACCTAACAGACGGATGCACTATTTTAATACGGAAGACTCGATTTTTTTTTGTTTTTACCCATGTTTCTTTTTTGCTCGACAAGCTTTTATACTCCTCGCTTTGTTTCAGCAATTAGCGCTAATTACTGATACTACCAGTTGGATTTGAAATATTATCTTTGATTTTTATAGGTGATTTCTTAAAATAGATATATGTAATATAATCTTGTAATTTATAAATAAATAATTAATTATAAATTGATAATGATTTAAGACACAGCTAAGACTGACATTGCTAAAATTTTATTATTAAACTATTTATTAATTAATTTTACAATATGAATATAAATAATTATAAACTACAGAATATATTAAATAACTATATAATTCTAATAACAATTACGATATGAATAGATACACACCGATACTTAAATAATGAATAATAATAATAATAGTAAGAAAATACGTAGTACATCGTGATACAATTTCAATGACTGGATAATATTGTAACAGATCCTTAGACTATTTCTAAAGTAATAAAGTGTTGTCCTCCTCTCTCGTACTTGCTGTGCCCAACAGGGTCCATAATTGAAATGTTACCTACTAAATATATTATGGAATGCAATAAGAAATAAATAAATGTATATGCTATTCAAATCCATAAGAAGACTACGGGAGAAGCTGTGAATTACAGCTAGTTATATATGAAAGAATAAAATACACACTTTTTCTTTAAATGTATTAGGTTAGTTAAAATTTACATTTTAGTTGGTACCTCTCTCTGTAAGTAAGTACGTATTTTATTGATCAAAATAATAAAGTCAAATAAAAAAAAAAATATATACCCTATAACTGGGTATCCTTTGATGTGTGCCGAATCCGTGTCTGATCAAATATTTATAATAATTTATTGCATGTCGATATCGACAAAGGGTTGGCTATAAAAAATGAGACAGTTTCACGCACTATTAACCTATTAAGCAAATCAAACCGTATAATGCAAGGTGCTATTTTCCAAATATACCGAGCACATGTCGTATTTTTATCGAATATTTGTCGTAACTAACATGTGTATAAGTTTAAAGTTACACTGCACTATTGTTGAACTTAAAAATAAATTAAATGCGTATTTATATTTTAAAAGGCCGGCAGCACACCTGTAATGCCGTAGGTGTTGTGGGTGACCATGGGCGGCGGTAGTCACTTACCATCAGGTGAGCTGCATGCTCGTTTGCCCCCTGTGTTGTAAAAAAAAATTGTTATTGTATTTATATATCTTGATTATATAGATAGAGCATAGAGCCTCAAAAAAACTTTTTGTCAGCTAATTGTCAAATTAGCTGACAAAAGCTTTTTTTTATCAGTATTCTATATATTAACGCATAATATGTATCTTGACGTATTCTTTAATAAACAAAATGAGTGTTTACGCATTAAAAAAAGATGCATAATTTATAAGACAAAATAAATATAGAAGTTACAAATGAATCACTCATAACTACGAGTATTTATCACGCAAATTTGTATGAAAATGTTGAGCCGTTTTTCTCGAAGCATTTGTATGAAGACATTCTATCTATATAATATAAAGTGTGTCCTTTTTTTGTAATAATTGTATGTTGCTTGCAGTATATTTATATTTTTTTTTTATACAACTTAGAATGGCAAACAAGCTGACGGCCCACCTGATGGAAAGTGATAACCGTCGCCTATAGACATGAGCAATACCATGGACATAATAGAGTATACTGTTTCGCCCATGATACCCCCCATGCGTTGCCATTCCTGAGGACTCAGGTGTTATTCCTCTGTACCCAGTAAATTCACGCCATATCCCACCCTTTAAACCGAAACATAGTTATGCAAACACAACTGCTTCACGGTTGAAACACGAATGGGACAGAGGTACCCAAGCAATCGACTTTTGTACAAAGTCTCCCTCTGGTACAAATATAAATAACTGCCTACCGTCAAGTTATTAATTTTTCTTTCGTGTCGTCTAATTTGTATTTACTATATTTTTTAAGCATTTAATTTTTGTTACATATCAACTTTTTTGTATTTAGTATATTTTTTTTTTATCCTTCGTGGTTAACTCGTCCACCGTAGATATTGTTTCATTCATCATTCTTTATACAAAAACGATAAAAAAAAATATTTATTTTTAATTTATTAAAAACGCCCCGTAGATAGATAGATAGATAGATACTCTTTATTGTTTCCTCCAAAACATTACAATAGTAAACTTATTATAGATACAAACAATTACAAACAGTATTTTTTAATAATTTTTTACTATTTTAAATTGAATAAATGATTTTAAAATATTTATTTTAATTTTTCATTTATTATTATTGTATTTTTTCTTTACTATTTGTTATTTTAAAGTGTCCCCCATAGAGTCCGGCACAGTGGGCGTATTCGTCACTTCACCTACGACCCCTTACACATATAACAGGGTGCATGGTGTCCCAGCCCATAGTGCAATTCTACGCACGCGCGGGAGCACAGCGCCGCCCCAGTCTAGTCATGGACAATATAGACTTTAAGTTTTGCAAATAGACTTTAGATTTTTATTTTTTATATTTCTTCTTATAGTTTATTTTTAATAGTAATATTTTTTTTTTTATAAACTTATAATAATAATAGTGTTGTGTGAGATTGTGAACTTTAGTGTTGTGATTATGCTATAGCATTCAAAACTACTAGGAACTATTAATATTTTTGAGGTAAGATTTTAATTAAAAATATATTATTAGAATATTTATCTAGAAAAATAGCACTTGCCTATATGCTATAATATCTTCAATTTACATACAATACTTTAAAAAAAAAAAACTTTAAAAAGTAAATCAAGTTCTAGAATTTTTTCAAGTAATTTTAAACTGTTTAATAATATTCGAAGCTTAAAATTATTTAGAGAAGCAAATAAAAACAAAACAGAATGAAATAAAGAAAAGGATTAATTATTTACATGTAATTACATTACCTCATTGAAATAATTACAAAGTAAAATCGGCCAAGTGTGAGACCTATGACTCATACGCGAAATACAATGTAAACTGAAGATTTTTTTACTGAAATATGTTGTTTTTATATATTTATATATATAATATTTACAAAAGGAAAATTTGAGGTAACAGCCGACCGATTGAGTGCTAAGTAAATTGGTAATACGTATAGGTTACGTATTATATTGTTAAATCTTTATTGTACATAATTTATATTGGATACATTAAAAGATTTGATATGCAATAGCGGACTTATCCCGTAAAGGGATTTATTACAGTATGTAATTAATTACTAATTAAAATTTGTATTAGTATTATGTATTTTGAATTCCTATCCGCATTCTATAGTCGAATCAATCTACTTTCCACCGCTTCAATTCATACACAAACCCTTATTATAAATATTGTATAACGACTAGAAATTAATTGTAAAGTCATTAACTTTCCGGCGTGGCCACGCTTGGACGGTCACCGTCGGCGGCAAACGGTCGCGTGCCGGCCGCGTGCGGCAGGTGGCAGCGGCCACAGCCCCCGGCTCGAAACACAAGTGTACAGTAATTAAGATATCTGATCTGATATTTAAGTCAATATCTTATTTAGTAATTCTTACTATAGCTGATAAAAAATAGCTGGCTTTATATCACTGTTTTAGAGTGTTTGTGACTATGTTATCCGATTGTGTTGCCATTTATGAATAGATTTTCACTCTTTTTTTTTTCAATCGATAAGATATGTTTCCTTAGCTAAACTACCTAAGCTGCTATTTTCTTTTACAAAGTAATAAACTGCTTAATGCGAAGCAAAATTTAGATATATGTGAACAGGCAATACATAGTTAAATTTTTTGTTGGGAATCAATATATATCTAGTCTTAGTATATATAGTATATCTCGTAGTCTTTATATATATATATAATATTAACAAACATAAATAGTAATAATCCAAAATATAATAATAAAGCTAAATTATAGTTACATGCGTTGACATAGTAATTCGTCATTGTATCAACAAAGTATTTTAAAGTTTAATCAATTTATGAGAAAAAAACAGTCTATTAGATTCATGAAGATATCATGCAACATACACACAAAAGAAATAAAGAACATCTCCTATTCAAAATTTAAAGAATCTACAGCTGTTTCTATACAGCTTTACTTCTATAGTATTTAGCAGAAAATGTAAATCCTTTTTCTTTCTTATAGGCACTGTCATTGGTCACGGAATGCCCGCCGGTATTGTTATTAATAATCAAATCATAAACTCACCCCAAATCGGAAATCTGGCGGAAATAGGAAGTGATAAAGTTCAACTGACTTGGTGTATCACGCGATCTGGTGGTAGGGTGTCTCACCTGTCACAGTTGGACACGAAAATTATACTGGAACAAACAGTAGGGTGCACTTTTTCATGTAGCTGTACGGATATTACTGAATCGGTGTTTTGTTTTATTCTGATATTATTAACTCGTGTATTTCCTCTGAACCCGAAAGAAATAGTTCGAATCTTGAACATTTAAAGTTGAAAGTACGAAATTGTTAAGTCCCACTACTGGAAAAATGCCTCTTTCCGTGGCTTATGTAATAAGATACAGTAAAATAAATTATTCTTAATGGAACTACATAGATATAAACGGCCTAAATTGAACTAAATATTAAACGATTAAATTATTTAGCTTCAAATTTGATAGGTCATGACTTTTTTTTTATACAACTTAGAATGGCAAAGCTGACGGCCCCCCTGATGGAAAGTGGTAACCGTCGCCTATAGACATGAGCAGTACCATGGACATAACAGAGTATACTGTTTCGCCCATGATGCCCCCCATGCGTTGCCATTCCTGAGGACTCAGGTGTTATTCCTCTGTACTCTGTAAATTCACGCCATATCCCACCCTTCAAACCGAAACGCAGTCATGCAAACACAACTGCTTCACTGTAGAAACACGAATGGGACAGAGGTGCCCAAGCAATCGACTTTTGTACAAAGTCTCCCTCTGGTACTGTATAGTTTTGCTTCCTCAATAAGTATAGTCTAAATATAATCACTAATTTTTTTTATTGAATATAAGTATATTTTAATTCTCCTTCTTCTTAGAGAATCTATGGCAAAATAATAAACTACATGATTGCAACCCAAAACTTAGTATATTCAAATTTTTGGTAATAATCTATTTAAACATGATTATTAACTATTTTGAAATAAAAAATGAATAATGGATAGATAAGAAAATAAATACAGTTAAAGAAATTTATAAATTCTTATCACACACATAAGCAATTGTAAATAAAGTTTAAATTTTCTTTTCAGGTAACCTCAAAATGTTCAGCACGAGTTTTGAAGATTTTTGCGACTTCAACGACAGTATTTGCAGTAACGATTCAGGTTTTGAAAGGTCCTATGCAGACTCCTCAGCTACTCCAACGTCAGCAAACAGTACGCCTATAAAACACGATACTATAGATCTAGGTGTATCTCTCACACCAACCAAAGACACCATTATTCGGAGGAAACTATTTACAGATGATTACGAATACTCTTATCAAGAACCTTTGGATATTAAGAAATTTGAAAATAGTATTAAAACCACGTCAACTCCCATAAAATCTAAAGAAAGAAAGGCGAGAGATCCCAATAAACCGAAAAGGAAATATGCTAATGGAAAAAACAGAGTGACAAGATCCAAAAGTCCAACGCAAATAATGAAAATAAAAAGGAATAGAAGAATGAAGGCCAACGACAGAGAAAGAAACAGAATGCACATGTTGAACGAAGCGTTGGACAGACTCAGGTGTGTTTTGCCAACATTTCCAGAAGACACGAAGCTAACGAAAATCGAGACCTTAAGATTTGCACACAATTATATTTTTGCTCTTAGTCAAACCTTAGAATCTCTAGATAATATAAATGCTGGGCAAATACCATCCGAAGGGTTTGCTTTAAATTACGAAAAACTACAAAATTACTCTACTATTGGAGAGAAAGTAACCAAAGATGCCTTTAGAGATATATTTCTTGTACCCAACAAAACTGAGGAGTACAACAGCGATGGCAGTTACAGATGTTTTCAAGGTTTCAGTAGACCTTTTCCCAATGGATCTAATTTCATGCAAACTCCTGAAGGTGTATTGATAAATGTTGGAAATGTTACCGTGTCTGTTAATAACAAGGGTGGTAATTGTATAACGTCCACGACTGGTAGCGGTTTCTTTACAAATCCATCTAGTTTCGAAAACAATACAATCCAAGAAAATTGTTATAGTCAAAGACAGTTTGCACCGTGTAAAAATACTATTGATGCTTACAATTCGAATGTACATAATAACACGGAGGAGTATTTTAACCATGCAAACTATGAAATATTTAAAAACGCTTTTGAGAATGCTAAAAACAAAAGACCAGTAAGAAATGAAGCTTATTTAAATAGTTACGAGGCATACCCAAACGCTATGTATGGATACAATGAGAGAAATTGTAATGACAATTATTATTGTCAAAATAATACATATTATAATGAACAAAGAAATTATAGAAATTTTTATAATAGAACGAATAATGTAGTAAATGCACAAATTTAAATTATTTTTGATAACAATATACAAAGACAATGTATATTAAAAACTAGTCATTGTTTAAGGATGAAAATATATATTTTGTATTTTTTTTTTTAATTCAGGTACTTGAAGACAATAACGAAAGAATTGATCAATTGTGGAATTTGACTATACCAAAGTTTATAACTAGTCATATTTGTAAAATTTTAAATAAATATAAATATTTTTGAAATGTCTCTTGTTAATTATTTCACTGATTGGAGGAATGTAAGAAAAATATCAAAATTACTAAGCTAATTGATTGATTGATTTATTTATTTATTTATAAAAGACACACCAACAATATGCTCACAATAATTAAGCAGACAATATACAATGTTATTAGTAAGTAAAGGAGAAAAACTACTATTAAAAAATGCTTAAATCTAAGTTTGAACAAAAAAATCTTACTCTTCACTACCAAGCTTAAGGCCATATGAACACATCAATTAAAGGTGTATACAGCTCTCACAGATAAGCGTCAATGATAACTCACAGATAAGATTCATTATTGTAATTATACATTACTAGTGTTTTTTTTTTTTTTTCATTTCGTACTCTTTTCATCAACATGACTAACAATTCTAATAGTTTTAAGTGCATCTTCTAACGTTCTTAGAATTTGCAAAAGTTCTATCAATTTAAAGGAAATTACTTTATTTTTGTTCTATTAAAATTATGCCATCAGAGATTAATTCAGATTTATCTAAGATATATACGATATATGGTTACTAAAGCGTTCCATTAAACAAGTTAACGGCCTCCAACCACAGTTCGGTTCAACGATTTTTTTTTTTCATCTCCCAATTAAACATATATAGAGCTGCACACTTGATTTACTGTATAATAATAAAAGAAATGAATATAAATCAAATTGGAACAATGGTCGCTAAAGAGCGAAAAGTTGTGAATGGTAGTCGCACCCCTATGGATATCCATTGTTCAGGCACTGAGAGAACTAGTCCAATTTATTATTAACGATATTCGTCCCTATGTTATGGGAATAAGGACGGTTGTAGATGTAAACGCGTATTACAGAAAATAGGGGGCACCCGTTTTGGATCGAGTTACGTAAACTAATGTTTGCATTGGAAATTCGTAACGGTTTGAAATATAATGTCTGTGTTTAGCGCTTAACTTCCACTATGTATGTAAGTGGACATCGAAGAAAAGCCAATATTCGGATGTAAAGTCTGAAGATTGATGAATGTGAAGGAAGAGAAATAGGTCTGTTTGAATCGAAGCATTTGGCGTTCCATTGTTTCTGCCTACTCCAATGCGAGACAGACGTGACATATCGTCATAGTTGTAGAATACTGACGGATCTTTATATGTAATCTTTGTCAGATCCGTCAGTATTCTACGACTATGACGATATATGTATGGGTGTATGTATATTTATGTACATCCGTCATACTAGTGAACGGGTGCTGTCTGTAGGGACTGATCTGATCTGGTAACTGCAACCGATTTTTTTTTATTGTTTAAAATATATAATTATTTTAAATTTTATAATCTGATACTGCTTGGTGGTTTTTATTCACACAAATTTATAATTTTAAACAATAAAAAATCTGATACTGCTTGGTGGTTTTTATTCACACAAATTTATTATTTATAACAGTTGAACTTTTTAAAAAAAAAAAACAGCTGAGTTTCTTGGCCGTTCTTCTTGACCGAAATAATTTTCAATCTATTCTCGATAATGATAACAGTAGACAGTAGTACTAATGTGAAATAAAAAATTAAGACTTTATTAAACAATTTGAAATATGTAATTTGATTTTATAATCATCATATACATCTGCTAAGTATATAAAATAAAAGACGCACATATGTTATTGTGCTAGTTTACAATGTTCCTCAGAATGCAAAATACAACTTTAGCTATTTAAAATAAAAATAAAAATCATTAATTGCACAAAAAAAAAACAGCTTCAATTGTGGTAAAATCAATAATTTTTATTTAAAAACTAAACTACTGAACTGTTTTTTTTTAATTGCTATGGACCAATTTGTAAGTATGTAGTGTTCTTTCAGACAAAAAAATTCAAATCGATTTATAACTGACGGGAGTTATGAAGAAAAAATTCAACTAATTTGAGAACCACTGTCTCTTTGAAGTCTAGTGAACATTTTGATAATTGTAATCAATCAGTGAAAGCCTTCTCGCTAATTTAGCTTTCTACTAAAATAATAATTACATCTCTAAAATGTATCAGCAGTTGACTGTCCACTGTTGAACATAGCATCCCCCATAAGGGGGATTTGCCAGTAGTTGCCACGCTTGGCAGGCGGGTTGGCAACCGCAGTTAGGCTTTTAGATATGTTTCAAGAGGTACGCTGCTGCCCATTCCTCGCTTTCCCTTAGTCGCCTCTTTTGAAACTCACAGGAAAGGAAGAGGTGACCTATTTCTATGCCGGTTTAATTACATTACAAATATCAAATCCGTATATTTTTATTTATTTTAATAGTTAGGTATCGGTTAAATGCAATACAATAAAATAAATAAATCTTGTTTAAAATATAAATAAATGTTGTAAAATACATACTTACAACTCATATAACATAAAGACATATTTAAAAAAATAAAAATGAATCATCAAGTGTTGTTAAGCACAAAACTCGATGATGGCCGGACCAATTCATTACTAATTAACTGGACCAATTAAAATATATTATGTTGCAGACCGGGGAAGGTTTTATGAAGGAAAAATTGAAAAGATACCCGAGTAATGTTAAAACTTAATTTTTATCTTTCCCATACAAACTATTATTTTAATTGAACGACGACTACGACGTAAAAACAAAACAGAGGGCCTATCATAAAATATTTCACGAAATTTCGGGGTCGAACGAGACACAAATTTGATGTTAAAAATATAATTATATATTCCGTTTAAAAATATTTAAAATATCGTTCCTCTGGACTATTAGGATAGGATTTATGATGAACGAAATGTTAAGCTCCATTTACTGGGCCGATTTCGGTATGAACGAAAACACGAAATTGAGTCCGAAAATTCGGAAATCCATTTCATGGTACATATTCGTCACGGACTATTTGCCCGTGAGATTTAAAATACAGCGACAGGAAATTGACTTCCGAAATCAATTCAAACAATTATTTTTACTCGACGTCAATAATTACAGGTAATGTTTTTGTTACATTTGATTTGAAACAAAAGCTGTTTTTTTTTTAGTATAATATACAAATTGTATCCCACAACTTCGACCATATGAATCAATAATTAAAGTACCCTATATGCTAAGTTAGAATCTATCCGTGTACGAAAATTTAATAAAATCTGTCCTCATGGGCGACACAGTATACTCAGTTATGTTCGTGGTACTGTTAATGATAATGATAATGATTTATTTGCTCGAAATGCGGTACAAAGGTCTTAAATGGTAACTGAGCTACACATTTCGCCTTATCTAAAGGCATGCAAATTTTGTCTTAGCACATGTTAGTTAGTCTTTAGTGGCTAACATTTATCAATTACGTATGTCCAATTAATTATTCTAAATACATAATAATTGTTACATTGAATTAGTTAATTATGTCAACATTTAAAAATAGTAGATACTATAGTTATAAAGCATTAAAATTGTACATGTCATATTATTCATGTCTATAGGCGACAGGTGGGCCGTCAGCTTGTTTGCTATTCTATGTTACGTTAAAAAAATAACTCTCAATAAAATTAACTCTGGCAATATCCTTAGGCAAAGTCTAGTGGCTTGTACCAACAAGCCCAATGCCAACCCCATGTGTGCACGGCCGTATTTAGCCGCGGGTCGAGCCGTGATAATCCATCGGTTTCGGGTGCATTGTTGGTCGCTGCGCTTGTTGCATTGCTTTGTGTGAGGACAGGCTTAAATAAATATATTGGTACTCTCATTATAAATGACAATGTGCACCTACCTTATTTTACCTTTTTCCCAATTTTAAACAAAATTCAAACTTGGAACGCTTATAAACTTTTTATTCTTTATTTCGTGTTAAAACTTATGGCTTTTTTTATTGTTTAAAATTGGAAAAAATGTAAAATAAGGACCTTTTTTCCAATTTTAAACAAAATTCAAACTTGGAACGCTTATAAACTTTTTATTCTTTATTTCGTGCTAAAACTTATGGCTTTAGTACTGATCTTGAAATTAAAGGCTGTATCCTCCTTGGAATGTTGGAATTTTATTGTTATCCTTGGAATGTTATTGTTATTTATTTTAAATATGTGAAAAAGACGTCGTGTGATCCTGACATAGAATAGGCCATCCCTTCCTTTCCCGTGAGTGTCAAACGAGATAACTAATAATAAGAGACGGCGAGGGATGAGCAGCAATGTCCCTATTAAAACATCTCCAAAGCTTAACTGCGGTTGCCAATTTGCTTGTCAAGCGTGGCAACTATTGGCAATCTCCCCTACGGGGAGGCTGATATGATGATGATGTCTTAAAAGTTTATAATTTTTTAAAACTGTTATATTTATTAAACTATAAGAAACTTGTATTCGATATCAAAATAAAAAAATACATAATTGAAATACAAAAGAGAATAAATCGCAATAAATTTAATTTCATTTCATTTGAAAAGAGAATGTCGTACTGGCATCCCTATCTACCTTCTATTTCTATTCTATTCTATCCCTGCTTCGTAATCCTCAATATAAGATATCTATTCCGTGTTATAAAATTCTAAAAAACAATTTTTGATACAAAATATCCAAAAAATAATTATTAGAAGAAAAATAATATATATAACTACTTAGTGGGTGTCGTAAGAGGCGACTAAGGGAGCTTATGGTGGAAGCATGGGTAGCAGCGTCCCTCTTAAAACATCTGTAAAAACCTAACTGCAATTGCCAATCCGCCTGCCAAGCGTGGCAATTACTGGCAAAACTCAGCTTATGAGGAATGGCTTATGTCCAGCAGTGGACAGTTAAGGAAATAATAATAATAAACTAAGTTACATAAATACAAACGAATTTTTTAAAATGTTAATGTTTTTATTTTATTTTATTTATTAGGCGCACATAACAGAAGTTTACAAATACAAACTTAAATTATAACATGCATGTACATTAATGTATTGATCATGTAAACTTGCCACAA